GGGGGGGGGGGGGGTGGGGTGTTAAAAACCCAAGTCTGTTACATTTGCACAGTGTAACACTCCAAAAAATCACCGACAGGAGTCTGAATCTACTAGACAACCCATTAGCGAAATCTTTATTTATTAATTTTACACTATTTTAGGGTGGTCCGTATAGGGGGGTCCGTAGGGTAGTCCGCGGACCGGGCGTCAGTGTTTTCGGGTTACCCCTAGTTATGAACCCACCCTGAAGCGGCTCCAAAGCTCTGATCAACACGCAAGCACCAGGTTCTTGACTGGAGATGTTTAGACAGTGATACATTCCATAAATGATGTAGACATACGCTGTTCCAGGCGCCATGTACACTGGTTCAGTGCGAGCAGTCCGTTTACCTCCAAACGAATGGCAAGCTTTATCAACCTCGCCCAAATACCCCTCAGTCTCCACGATTCGTCCACAAAGCACTTCGCCATTATCAAGAACACGATAAAGCAACTTTCCCAGGAGTTGTTTGGCTAAGACTTCAGTTGGACGGTCGTAAAAAGACCTGTCAAGTTTGGTCAAAGGCAGACCATTTCTCTCGGACTTTAGTTTGGCTTTCTTAGAAGGCGAGATACTTAAACTATCGTTGTAGTCTGTTTGGAAATAAATGCTTTTCTCGCCTTCTCCTTTGATTTGATCCGAGAAGTTTACCTCTTCACTTTTGGCGCTTTGCGTTTTGTGATTTCTTTTTATAGTAGCTCTACGAGCCGCCATGTTGTTTCCTTGACTGTGATAACTTATGTAATTCGCCACCAAATGTCCCCGGCTGGGCGCGCCCACAGATTAGGGGGTGGGGTTGTGCATTTGTTTTGTACCTCAAATAACTGCAAAGGTGAAAAGTTTTCTAAAATTGCTTCTTTTATTGCTGAGTATCATATATTTAATAAATAGTTTCCCTCATTTACAAAATTTTCCTTCCACAACGAAAATTCGTTTATTAACAGAAGCAAAAATATTTTACTCGGAAATAGTCTACCATCCAGTTAGGAGTATGATTATTTTAATTCTAAATCACGTGATAAAAGTAGCCGAAATGTCTGGATACATCTTAAGACAAATGTAGCATTAAAAACTCTCATACAATATATTTGTAACTACAGCTGAACTCCCATTAAGTGGCCGCCCTTGGGAAAAATAGGAGGTGGTCACTTAAGGACATTTGCACGAAAATTTTCCAACATTGATTTTTTTCTGAGACTTTTACCACTGTAAGATGATGAGTTAGTTATGTCAGAAATGTAAAAAAAAAAATGGGGGTTCACCGACTTCATTTTGGAGAAAACATGCCCAGAAGAACACCCTAAATCTGAAAAAATCGGGCTTCGTTAGTGAATAAGGCCATAGTGTCTGTAAGCCCAAAAATATTGCAATTATATCTGAAGTGAAATATTCTCTGCCAAATATTGTTCATGTGGACCTATTAAGTGAATTTAGTCAACTGGTGAGGTTCCTTAAAGAACAAGTTCGCATTTAGCAACCATAGTTTCACGTGCCTTGCAGCTGCAAGATGGCAGGATTCGATGTCATGTGAGAGAAATCTTGAATTTTTTTTTAACTTCCCACATTGATTTTTGTTCATTTGTGGACAATGTGGAGATAATTGTAAATAAAATCTGTTTCTGGAAAGAAAAGTAGGGGTCACCGAACATCAAAGATCAGTAAATCCAGGCAAAGATATAGCAATGGCCACCTGCCCTATCATTGTTCATTTACTTACTTAGCACGCACTCTCGTGTGCAGTAAGGATACGCAGAAGCAATTAGCGCAAATGTCCTTAAGAGGGGTTTGTGAGCTTTAGATGTTTTCCAGCTCAGGTTAATTTCTTAGTGAACATGGAATCACCTCAAGGCAGTCATAATAAACATGTGTTTGAATGTTTTTATCAGTGGTCAAATTCTATTTTCACCTCTTACCTGCCATCATCTTTTCTAAAAAAAAGCCAAAATACAAGTATTAAATTTTTGGGCAGCCGCTTTAAAGGGGTAAGGACAATAGCGGTCTCCCTCATCGGGACAACCAAAAGGTGGCTGCAGCTGCTTAATAGAGGTTCTATTTAGAGTATTTGACTGTCAACAATTTTGGGGACTTTGATAACTGACCTGTTGCTTAACAAGGGGTGGCCACTTAATAGGTGGCTGCTTCTAAAATACAGGTTCAATTGTACAGTACACAAGGACACTGTTAAATACATGATATTAGCATAAATCAACTATTACACAATAGAAATCGAGAGTGAATAATCTAATTGTTTTAGTACAAATCTACTAGTCATTCAAAACTTAATCTAAATCCTCTTCACGGACACTTTGAAAACGCCAAGAAGTGGCCGTCATTTTGTTAACAAGGGCACACTGCTACGTTACTCACTATCTACAACAGAATAGATAGTGAGTAGCGTAGCCAATCAGAGAACGGCATTCATGATAGAACGCTAGTAGATTTATACTAATCTGTGATAGTGAGTAGCATAGCAGTGTGCCCTTGTTAACAAAATGACGGCCACTTCTTGGCATTTTCAAAATGTCTGTGAAGAAGATTTAGATAAAGTTTTGAACAACTAGTAGAATACTAAAACAATTAGATTATTTGCTCTCGATTTCTTTGCGTCATAGAAACCTTCAGCTCACAATCTAATTGTTTATTGGACATCTGGCGGTAGTCTATGGGGTTTTTTCTTTGTTTGTGGCACGTTCCTGCAGCTTGGTCAACAAAGTTTCACAGTCATCAGCAACTACAAGAATATCTTTGTTTTGACCATACACAAATCCTTCTTTAACAGCATTTTGAATCTGAGGGCAAAAAAGAAACTAAGATCAATGGCAATTATATTAATTTGTTAATCCTGAAACATACATGTGTACACATCAACATCATTGAAAGAGGAATGTTTTCCACATACCCATTCTATCAAGCTTCCCCAATAATTAGCTACATTTAACACTCCTATTGGTTTATCATGGAGTCGAAGCTGATACCTATAACAAACATACAAAAACAGTAAAATAAACTCACACAGTTGATTGAAGAATGTACACAACCAAGATAATAACTGGTACAGATAAAATTATAATATAGTTTATGCTGAAAATGTTTACAATAATGTTACTCATTATTATGTATTACATACATTCTTACATACATATAAAGATATAAAGACAGGAGGTAAATGTAACTCGAGTTTCATGCACTAAGCAGTCATCAAACAACTAACTAGTCTGATGATCGCTTGGTGCGTAAAACTCGAGTTACATTTACCTTCTGTCTTTATATCTTTACATTTTGCTCTGCATATTTTTTGTATAGAACACTCTTAGGATAAGTGAAACAATTCATTCACTGTTACACAGCAATTTTTCTTGGACAATTCTGTCCAAAGGGGAAAAGCACAATGAGGTTAAGCCTATGTAAGGCACCAACCTGGGAAACAAGGCCAGACCACAACACCGGGAACTCCGTGCCCTACTCTTTGTAATGAGTTTGTGGGTTCTCTCATGTCCCCTGCTAACTATGTAACACTGAAAATGCAGGAGACTGCAGGGCCTATGGTTTATAGTCCTTATCTGGGAAGACTTGAATGTCCAACCATTTGCAGCTGTATTTACCAAGGTAGCACAAAGGTAGACCCCGAGTGTTGGTCCGGTCTGGGGCTTGAACCCTCGACCTCCCATACAGCAGTCTGGTGCTCTACCAACTGAGCTAACCAGGCGGCAGTTGAATATCATACCGGGGTACATGTATATTCTCACCATGTGATCATTTCAAGAAGTTCTTCAATGGTACCATAACCTCCTGGCAAAGCTATCAGTGCATCAGCCTAGAAATGAAGTTAAATTTTAATTATATTCAATAGTTTCATTATACAACAATAAATTATTTATCAAAAAATACTATTAATTTGACAAATTTCTACCAAACATTTTAGTAAGAGACATTAAATATAATTATTATAAAATATGTTGTGGTAACATTTAGATTTATCTTTGTTTCAAACCAAGTTGACTTTTATTTTTCAATGGCTTGTGATAGTCATTGTATAATTTGAAACAAAGGGAACTAGAAATCAAACTGGTTTGAAAAAATTTAAACCCATAATAAATATTTTACCACTGACAACACATGTGCAGATATCTTATGAGTTGCTGTATGTTTCCAAATCCTACAGAGGTGAGTAAAAAGTTGAAAAGTAAGCAAAATATGGTACTGTAAACACTGGTGGATAAGCCGCACTGGTAAATAAGCCGAACCCCCAAGTTTGGAGCTCAAATTTTGGAAAAAAGTTTTTGGAGAGATACCAAAATAAATCAAAAGTGGAGTCTTAAGAAAGATGTTCTACATGTATAGAAGCTTACATTTGTTGAATGTAAACCCGCATAGGCTACCAAACTTGCAATTTAAGCCACAATTTTTGTGTACTCTGGTATAGTGTTATGAAGTTCTTATCAGTAAATGTTATACAGACTTATAATTTTTGATGAAAAGTGTTAATTTATGCAACTTAAAGGCAGAAAAGCCTCATCCCCATTTTGTTACAAAAATTTTGAGTAAAAAGGTATGGTTTATTCACCAGTGTTTACGGTATTAAAAAACCCAATGAGATGTATAAAATACTTTTTGGGTTTGCGCAGTCAACATATTACCTATAAGTACTTATGAACAGAGATGTTCACATACAAAATTGATGGAAAGAGGATAGATTGATAAATTAATAAAATTCTTCTCAGTATCAATAGCCACTATACATCAATAACCTTGATGTTACCTGTTCTAGCATATTTCTTTTTCTAGTATGCATATCTTCAACCAGCACTGTCTTACCAATGCCCTTCAAGTGTTCAGAATCTAAAATAGTAAAACAAGTTACAAAAACCGATTTTCTGTAACCCTATCTAAACTACCCGATTTTTATTATTTTTATTTTTTGAGACTAGATTTTTATCTAGCATCCAAGTTATAGAAAAGCTTCCATTATTTTTGGAATTTTGAGTCAAATAATTAAATCATGAGTGAATGAGTCACTTTAAGGAACAAAATTCATTGTATTCTAGTTAGCCTGAATATAAAAGTGATTCCATTACCCTAAATGGCACACTCAATTAGTAATCAGCCTTGAGCAATCTGGTTATCTCAATAGTACTCTGGTTAGTCTAAGTAATGCCCAGGTTTAAAGCCTGAATAATGCTCATGTTGGCCTGTTTAAGCTAGCTCTAGCCTGCGTATAAAGTGCTCCCACTAGTTCAGTTCAGATTTCAGTGGACTAGTAAAAGTTCTCATACAAACCTAAGAACTTTTCCTGCATTCAATTTTTGCATGACAGCAGCATGGCAACTAGTATGTTTGTATGTTTGTTGCATGGCAACAAACCCCTCACTTGTATAGGAATGCTTGCTATGCAGGCTAGCTAGGATAGCTCTGGAATTATCATGGTTATGGCAACATCAGACATTATACTTTAAAGACTTATTTGAGTTTTAACAACTACAACAACAACAACAAAGCTATATTTTAAACTCAGTTATTGAATATAGCACACGAGGTAAATAAAATTCTTACTCTTCAGAAACAAGTAGTAGGAGTTATTTGTGCTTAACATCTGGAAGTTGTGGTCCTGTGACTAGGCTTGTAAAGACTTATTATTGTTATTTAATACCTCCTGAATTATTACATGTATGTATATAAATGTATATGTAATAAATATACATGTATAATAACATTACGGTAATCAACTTTGTAGACACATTGCCAAATAGA